AAAATTAATTGGTGGAAGGAGGAGGGTCCACTAGACTTATAAGGTGAGTCTATTATGTTTGTATAAACGATGTGGGACAACTCACAAGTGAATATTCTAATAAAAAGAACATGTGAAAATGCTTTTTTTATTTTATTCATATATTGCTTCTAATAATTTTTCATTTATGTAGTTTGTAGGAGAGTATTTGTAACATGAATAGATTTATATAAGAGACATAAGATAATATTTTGTGCATGCATGTGATGTGGAACAATAATACATGCCGTTGTTTCTAAATTCTTCTTCAATTTTCAAAAGATAATATATATGAGATACTTATAACAAATTTAATTAGTAAATAGGCAAAGTACAAATGCATAGCTAATCACACACCATTAATGTCCAATAATATGTTATATATGAACTCGCTTTATTGATACTCGTTTATAAATTAAAGCACCAATTTACTAACATACTCATTTATAATTTTATATTAGTTTCTAAGATAGATTAAAGAGCTAATTAGAGTAATAATAATCCTTAGCTCGGTCGTGCTGAACTTTTTTTTTTTTTCGGTATGAGTCATGGAGAGATTAACATATCATAAAATGTTGATATATATGGTGTTAAAAAATTATTAAATCTTGACATATAACTTGTGAACACATTTTAATATACTCACAATGAGTAAATAATTAAACATTATAGTAAATTAACATACTAAAATTCTCCATATAATGAGTATATGACATAATATAGTTGGAGTTAGTGGTTGCCAAAGGAAGTGATAAAAGAATAGCAAAACAAATACCCCAATCTCAATCAATCCCACTACCCAAAAGAACACGGGAACTATATAGCACTAAATGTTTTTTTTTTTTTTTTTATTTAACTCAAAATTGATTCCCAGACCGTTTCAACTAGGGCTGCAAACGAGTCGAGCGGCTCGCGAGCGCTCGAGTCAAATCTCGACTCGAGCTCGAGTTTGACCGAACTCGAGTCGAGCTCGAGCCCATATTTTGTCTTGTCGAACGGCTCGAACGCATGTTAAATTATTAAAATACCCTTTATATATATGTTAACATAGGTCCTTATTGGTAATTTTACCTTTCTACTTACAATTTTTCGAGCCGAACTCGAGTCGAGCTCGTGCATTTTGATTTCAAGTCGAGCTCGAGCCGAGCTCGAGCTATTGAAATTTTTTATCGAGTCGAGCTCGACGAGCTCGAGCAGCTAAAAAAAAAAATCAATCCTGCTCGATAAGGTCAATGCTCGACTCGGTTTGGCTCGTTTGCAGCCCTAGTTTCAACTAAAATAGCATAAGATTAAAAAGCTTTTATAATGAAACCATATATACCAGTAAAGTTACATACCTTAGTAAATAAGGAATTGATAATTAAAAAAAAAAAAAAAGCATTAATTTGTCCCTTTTTCACACATACTTTTGCTCATGCAACCTTTAAAACTTATCAGCTTCTTTAATCACTGAGAAAAAGCTCACTGGCGGCAGTCAAAGACTGAACTTCTTCTAAATTAGAATTTTTGGAGCAAAAAGTTTATTAAATAAGTTATTTACCAAACAGATCAATAGCAGATTTGAAGGGTCAAACCTCTCAATTAAGTTAAATCCGTTAATGTATCTTCAATCCGCTATCTACCAAACATGGGTTGACTCAAGTAAGCAGCTTGATGTCGCTTAAGCAAGGTCTCGGGTTTGAGTCCTTGTGGATGCAGAAAACCCTTGTTGCCCACCACTGCTAGGTGTGCGACCCGAGTCGACCAACAGATTAATCGGGGCATAGCTCCGGATACCGTGAGTGACTAAAAAAAAAACAGGGCCTTATTTATCCATTTGTTCAATTAAGATGTTTTTTTCTCCATTCTGATTGGATTACTAGAAAATTACATATATTCCTCCATGCATTATTATTAGATATTTATTCAGACACACCTTTTTTTCATCTTCTTATTATTTGTCAATTTTTAAGACTCGAATTAAGAATTTAAATATTGGTTGTGGGAATTTATTCTAAATATCTATTATCGGTTTACGCGGCAAGAATCAATAATTTTACTTGTTCTTCATCACATTGGATTTGCTTAATTTAAATTTTTGGATATAAGATTTTTATTTTCGAAAAAAAAAAAAACGAATAATATTACTGTCACAAATGCAATTTCAAGGCAACAACTGGCGAAACACATGGAAAGTGGACCTTATCGTGAGTTCATCAATTTTTTATTAAGAACCAGGAAAAATAAATAGAGCTATCTGATCTTCATTAGCTGTATTAAAAATTATTCCTGCTACAAATGATATATATATATATATATATAATAATTTTAATGTGTATATAATCTCTCAAATATATATATTGCTGCTTTCATGTGCAATCTATAAATGCTAATAGGTGCATGAATAATGCTTCCTACCCACGGTGGACACATGTTAATATGTCAACAGTTTATGTGATATGCATACATTGGTGATGTTAATATGTTAAAAAAAAAATACATCACCATTGTGTGCATGCCACATAAACGGCGGACATATTAACATGTGCCCACCGTGAGTTGGAGAGCATTAATGATACGTGCATACATGGAAAATTAAAAGGATAATTTTCACATTGGTTCAAGTTAATTCTCATCTAAATATGGCAGTTACTTTAATTACTAAAAATGCTATACCATAATCATTACTTATGTCATTTTTTATTATCCACCACAATAAGAGATTGATTCTGATGTGGCTCCCACCGTGTCTATGGCTATCCTGTGAGGACTGCAACACTGCAAGTGCATTTCGATCTCCACCAATAAAAATAATACTCCCTCCTATTCATAATATTTATCGTTTTGAGAAGTTGCACAATTATTAAGAATATTTTTTTTTTGTCAATAATAACCCTCATTAATGATGATAGAGATGAATGCTTTGAGAAAAGATGAAGAGTGAATATGAAAAGACGTAGTGTATTTATTAGGTAAATGAGGGTAATAATGAAAAAATATGTACAAAATATCAAAAACGACATTTATTTTGTTAACAGTTGATAATGTCAAAATAACATTTAAAAATAATAGGAGGTAGTAAAATATAGTACCATGCACTCACATTGGAAATAATATTTTTTCTAGAAAAAAATATAAAAAATCAAACATTTTAAGTAATGGGAGATTATTCTATGGATTTTATTTATTTATTTATTTTTTATTTCACATCCTAAATTTATTTTTCTCACATGGAACTTAAACATACATTTTGACATATAAAATTTTGCTAAGGAACCAACTAGTTGGTTCCTTTATGGAACCAATAACCAATGAAATAACTTCACATGAGGTTGTGGGACAGCCCCATGTGGAGTTATTTCATTGGTTGTTGGTTCCATAAAGGAACTAACTAGTTGACCTATATTACTAGTTTACTACTTTGTATTCCTTTTAAATGTTATTTTGGCTTTATCAACCATTAACCAAATAAATAACATTTTGAATTTTTTGTACATATTTTTTCATTATTACCCTCATTCAGATAATAAATACATTGCGACTTTTTATATTCATTTTTCATCTTTTATCAAAATATTTATTTCTATCTTCATTAAAGAAGATTATTGTTGACAAAAAAAATATTTTTAATTACTTCAACTTCTCAATTATGAATAGGAGGAAGTAGGGAAATGCTCTAGTCTCAATACGGAAAAATTTCGTCAGGACTTGTAACCGTTAAATCATCATGTATTCGTCTTTAATAGTTCTTCAATAGTTGATTTAACGGAGTATTATTTATAGTTATGTACATAAATAGAAGTTAGGGTATCATAGGCAATTATGATGTATTGACACAATCAGCTTCCAATATGCAAATCCCAATTGCATATAAACTAGAATAAATACAACCCTCAAATCTACAAATTTATCATTAGTGAATGATAAATTATTCTAAAATTTAATTAGTGTGATCTATGAGATCTTTAAGAAAAATGACATTAATGTTTAATTTTTACGAGACGTGAAGTAATTGAACATTAGTGGAGGAAAAAATAATAATAATTAAAAAAGAAAAACGTTGACTCTAAAGTTACAGTGCAAATTGCAGGAACCGCAGGATTGGCATCCCGCCGCGACTTTGAGTTACAACGTAACCCGACAAGTTCCCGACCGTAGAGAATGGCGACTCTTTTAACTTCCCACAATCTACAGTGACTCAACGGCTCAGATTCGCTCCACGTACCCCAGCGCAAGTTAGTGCTATCCAATCCATTCATCACAACTCATACACCGAATTTCCAAATCGCCCCACACCAATCATTCCACACCATGTCAACATAAGCCCAAGTTCAATTGGGCCAAACAGTCATTTCACTACTGTGAAACCAATATAAAAGGCCCCAGGCTCTCCTCCACAAACGTTAGCTGCAAAAATCACAGTGTGCCACTATAATAATACAGCCAAATTACTAAATTGTCCCTGCCAGCTACTTTCTCTGCTCTGCACAGACTGGTCTGAGGTCGATTTTACCGCCGGGAAAGTCAAGCGCCACCCTGCCGGAAAATAAATCGCCGGATCTGGGAAAAGTGTTTGTTCGCATGATGGGATTTTGCATCTGCCCGTTGGATACGCCGGCGAGGTTGCTCTGGTGCTCGAGCTTCTTCCGCCACAAGCTGATGTTATTCTAATAGTTTCATAATAATACCAATTTCTACCCGATTTACATCGAATTACTGAGTTATTTAAATAAAAAGCTCTTTAGATTCATATATATACACACACGAATACACGTCGCTCGTGTGGCTATCGATTCCGATTGATTCAGCCGCCGGAGGATCGAGATAAAATGGATTCCGGCCGTATTTTCTTCGACCCGTCTTGCCACAGCAACATGTTGTTTCTGGGCAACGGCGACTCACGTTTTCGAGGTACCCAAATTTCCCGTTTGGCCCCTGCGTGTTATTTGCCCAGCTTTTTACAGTACACGTGATTCATAGTTCTATGTGTATAATCGTATATTTAGATCGACTGATCGAGCATACAGTATTATTAATTATTAATTTATTCATTTTCTGGTGATTTTGTTAATCGTATAATGGTTTTGATTTTGTGGATATGATGCGCATTAGGAGCAAGTTCAGTGATGGGCATGGAGGAAATGAAGCGGCCTTTCTTCAGTACGGCCGATGAGCTTTACGAAGAGGAATATTTCGACGAGCAGTTGCCGGAAAAGAAACGCCGTCTCACTTCTGAGCAGGTTTATTTATTTATTTATTTATTTTGTTCATCTTCGTTTAATTTACAGTTGAAGATAACTAGATAAGATTCACCGTGCTATTCTCTAGAACACAATGTTTGGATATGGAAAGCTTTTGTTGAATCTGATTCGTTCAAGTTTATAACCGTGAGCCTGAACTTACTCTATAATATTCATTAATCGGTTAGATTATGGTGTTTGCTTTGAGAATAACGTGACGTAATTAGTTGGACCACAATGTAGACATACTCCTTTCTTTACAAAACATACTCCACTATCAACAGCCGGTTAATGTAACCAGCTGCTGAGTTGAATATGTTAGTCGATTGTCATGTGCATGGGGAAAAAAATAGAAAATAATATCCACGTCAACTTACCAGGGACCGGGTTTTGTTGGTTGAAGGATCAAAAGTAGAATATTTTGTAAAGTCAGCGTGATCACCAGACTATTTCGCAATTAGGTGTCAGTCACCGAACTAAACCTCCATTATTTCTTGTTGTTTTTCATCGTAAGTTACATCTTGTGGTTCGATTGGTTAGGTGCACTTGCTGGAAAAGAGCTTTGAGGCTGAGAACAAGCTGGAACCTGATCGAAAAACCCAACTGGCTAAGAATCTGGGCTTGCAGCCAAGACAAGTGGCGGTTTGGTTCCAAAACCGCCGTGCCAGGTGGAAGACCAAGCAGCTCGAGAGGGATTATGATGAGCTTAAGGCCTCATTTGACTCTCTCAGTTCCAATTACGACTCGATTCTCAAGGAAAACGAGAAGCTCAAAGCTGAGGTAAAATAAGATTCAAGAAAGAAACTTAGGGCGTGCTTGGAAACTTTGACTTAACTCTACTATCCTGAATATTATCAATATAATGAAATAATATCAATCAACCATTCTTACACACCACATCAACTTTAAACTACTATACATTTACTTACATAACTTTAACTAACCATCACTTCACATAATTTATCTTGTACTTTTACATCAAACAAATCAATTTTACTTATTATTTTGAATATAAACTCAAAATCATACTAACAATTAATCATACCACTTTTTTTAATTAACATTGATTAAATAAAAAATTAATCTTGAGCTAAAATCTATGTTTTTAACACGCCCTTGATTTACATATTTAGATCTTATCCGTAACCTTTATTTTTGAATTAATTAATTTTTATCATTATGATTATCTTGTGATCTGATCATATTCAGTTAGACATCATTATAAGTTGTATCCCTATAGCTTATATGGATGCTACCGCTTCTTGTCCTGTTTTTTGGTCGTTTTCAATTCATTTGGATGGTGTTTAGGCCTTTCATTATCAAAGGGGTTGCTAGGTGAAGGATATTAACATTGAAAACAAGATGGGTATGAAATTTGTTTGGATTTGGCTTGTATTGTTTCTATAAGGGCACCTGGGCCGTCCACTTGGAGATCGATAGGGACATGTTGGGCCTGGGCCAGCCCATAAGATTCGTCCTTACCTATAAAATAAAATAGTGTAACCTCAGCAAATTTGTCTCTTGCATTTGTCAAATAAAATAGCATATGTCCTGAACCCCACCTGATGAAATATAAAGTTTAGACTGCAATTCCTATGGAAGAATATACCTATATACCTTCACTATGTTATCAAGCATAAGCATATTGGATGGAAATTAAGGGCGTGTTTGTGTTTGGGGTACAAATATATTTGCTCTAAACGAGTTTTTATGGTTAATCGTGATTTATTTTGAATGAAAAAAATGTGGTATGATTAGTTGTTAGTGTGATTTTAAATTTATATTAAAATAATTAAAGTTAATTTGATATAAAAGCAAGAGAGAGATGATTTGAAGTGATGACTAATTAAAATGATGTGATGACTAGTTAAAATGATGTGAGATAGTGAATTGAAATTGATGTAGTGAATAAAATATACTTTGTTATAGTTTAAATGATGTGAGTCGATGAACAGTGAATTAAATTCACTTGATGTCTTGTATAAAAATGATTGATTAGTATTATTTAATTATATTGATAATAATAAATATTGAGGATGGTGTGATTGGTTCATTTAGATTTTAAGTATGAATTGAGTATTTTTTTTTTTAATAAACAAACACACCCTTATCTTTCATTATAACATGGGAAATTCGGATTTTGATTTACAGCTTATTTCCTTGACCGAGAAATTCCAGCCCGAGAAAAAGCCCGGTGAGGAACTGGGTCAGAAACCCGACCCACTCCCGGTGGGCCCGCTTCTCTCGAGCCTTCAGCTGACCATGAAGGCTGAGGACCGCCTTAGTACAGGCAGCGATGGCAGTGTCGTGGTGGATAATGATGGCCGGCAGCTTCTAGACAGCGGGGATTCGTACTTTCCGGCTAGTGACTATATGACTGCAGAGGATTCTGGCACGGATGGCCAAAGCTACTTTTCCGATGTGTTTGAGGCTGCCGATCAGCAGGAGCCAATGGGGTGGTGCATATGGCCTTAAGTTAGCCGTATAGGTTAATGGTGAGTTATCATTTGGTAAAAAATAAGTCCTAGTTTGTGAAAGAAATAAAATGATTTAATTTGGACTCTGTGTGTTTTTGTATTGGTGCTACTATGTGTGCTGGTCTTTGTGGTATGTTGGACTTGTTTATGTATGATGAAAACTGTTAATGTGTGTTTTTAACTTTTTAAGTGCCTTTAAGTTAATTTCTACTTTGATTGATCTAGAATAGGACCTTCCATGGAATAATTGAAAAGGTAAAGTAACAAATTAGTACTTCCATTATATTGGCTATTTTTCAGAAATGATCTATTAATTTGGCGGACATCAAACTTGATACAATAAGTTGTAAAATTCATCATTTTTGGTCCATAAGCCTATGTGGCGTTTTATCAGGCGAATACGTAGATAAGTTTGATGTCTGCCACATAGGCTTGTTATCCAGCCCGAGTGATTTTTACTATTGAATTATACGAACTTAGATACCAAAAAAATGGTGAGAAAAATAATACATTCTAATTTTATGGAAAAGTCATACTGATTTGATGCAATTAATAAGCGAAATGCTATGGTACATTCTGATCTAATAATTACAAACTCTGCGAAATTATTCCGTAATGAGATTGTAGTATCTCCCATTAATAATATGTATATATCCACTAGTTCTTTATATATACTGAATACTTTAAAGTTGATCTGGCACAGTTTCAACTTAAAAGAGTTTTATTTATTTATTTTCATCAGAATAAATTTTTCAACTTGAAAGAGTTTACAAAGGGAAGTTTAGAATCACAAGAAACTATATACTATATCCCAAGTGAGTGGAATTGAAAGGATTGTCATTTTCAATCTCTCTCGAGATGACAATATTGCAAATTGTGGTTGATTTGCACACATTACCAACTATTGTCATTGCATATAGATTATTAATATAAAATAAATGAAGCATTAATTTTACATATAAATTGAATGGTTGAGTTTATAGAATTCCACAAGTGATGTGTGGAGTTGGTGGCGGACTTTGGACTTTGGATGATAGCCTCGATTAATTTTCAGGCGCAAAATAATTATCATTAATAATATCTTTTTTTTTTTCTTTTTTTTTTCGTATTTGTATTATATACAGTGTCAAACATTGGATTAAATTAAATAATTGTAAAAAAAAAAATAAAAAAATCTGAAAGTGGAGAACTCGAATTCGTTTTTCTTTTTTGATCTTTTCCTTCTTTTATTTATTTATAATAAATTAATTATATTAATAAGTTTTTGGAAAATAATACTTTATTTTCATTTTTTTATAAAAAATATATTTTTTATTTTATTATATTAATTTAATATTTTTATTTATTTAATTTATTATTTTATAATAAATTATTTTATTTATTATTTATTTTACTTTATCGTTTTTATACTTTATTATCTACATTATTATTCTATCTATTTTACTTTAATTTTGTTTATTTTTTAATTTAATTTTGTATTATTTTTTCATTTAAAAATTATATAACTAATTTACTTTAATTAAAATATAAAATTTATTAAATTATAATTCACACTACTATATTATATTTTAGCTTACTTTATTACAATTTAATTTTCTTTTATTATTTTATGTTACTTTAATTGATTCATTATTATTATTATTATTATTATTATTATAGTGAATTGGCATATTATAATGTTACTTTATATTATTACTTTATTTTAAAATATTTAATTCATTTCTGTATGATGTATAAATATATTACAATTATCCACATTGCCCAGTGATTTAGGGGGCGTGCCCTCTCTTCCCAACCCTTTCTTCCACATAGGGATGGCAATGGGCCCCCGAA